TTGTTAAAGAGTCCCTATGATTTAAGATATTTGAACCTGTCGTATCTAGTTTCTTTCAAAAGGACCCCTGCCTTTTCTTTAAATAGTACCCGCAGTCCTTGGCTAGATTTACAAATCAGATTTTATTTATTTTAACTTGAAAATCAAGTTCCATCTATTTACAAAATTGCCACTACCTTCAGTAAGACATATCTTCTCCGTTTTAACTCCGATTTGGTTCGTTCAAGTTGAGTTAGATTCGTTACGACGTAATCTACGTATTAGTGGTATTGTTTAACATGTTTGAAGCTTTTAAATAAAATAGTAATTTGACTAATCTATATTAGTTTTTTAATTAAAAGCAATTAGGGATTTTCACCGTAGTCTTTTGTAAATAAAATAAGATTAATCTTATGTTGGTTTTCTAATACAAATATAATTTGGCTTAATTAAATTTAGATATTTTTCTGAAGTAACTTATATATGTTTTATAATTAAAATAAATAAAGCCTATAGTTTTCTTTTTAAAACAAATCTTTCTGTAGTTGTATCTTTTTCACCGTAGCTCCGGTTAACGTGCTTTTCGTGTCTGTGTGATCGTAGCAACACGTAGATTTGATTTCAAATTCTTTTTCACTGATTTGTGTATTGTTCTAATATAGTTATGTTTGAATGCTATGCATGTTTGTTCGGGTGCTTGTGTGGTGCTTAATGATCTTGTCCAGTCGGTGAGTTTTACGTAGTGATCAAGAAGCAGTTCTTTGGAGGCTACAAATCAATAGAAGAAGGATCTAAGTTTAAGGCAAGTATAGCATGGGACCATCCTTGTAACCTATTCACCTTTAATCACTTAATTCATATTGCATGTGTCTACCTTGTTGCCAATAAGGATATCCTAGATATTTGATATCTTCTACCTTGACACCATGAGTGATTATGCATTGGGTAGTATGATGCTAGTACTCAATTAAAGATCATGATCTTGTAACTTGACTAATGGAATATGCAATAAACACTAAAAGATGCTTTTAGCAACATGGAACAAGGGGGCTAGAGCATTAGGCTATTTTTATGGTGCTCTAGATTTCTCTCGCTAAGAACTTATCTGTAAGTGATCATCCGGAACTTATAGTACAGCTGTGAGGGCTATATGGCTCTGGCTTTAGCTCAGTATGAGGACCTTTTCTAGCTTGGTAGTTGTTACCTTTATTGGTGAAAGAATGGCTTGTCGAATCGGGTATAGTGCGGCCTCTGTCTCCTTGTGTATAGGTTGCGCGTCATTGTGCCATCGGGAAGGAGGGTTCTATATATGTTTGCCGAGTGAATCTAATGGCCCTAACTTGTTAGATGAACCTTTGAAAGGCTTCATAATGAACCCTGTCGACTTTCCTAGGTAGTGGGTCAAGAGGCTGATCACCTCGGGCGAAAGGGTAAATCATGACTCACTGTGAAAGTGTACAACCTCTACAGAGTGTAAAACTGGTATATCAACCGTGCTCACGATCACGAGCGGCCTTGGAATATTTACGGAATAGATGATGAACACTGATGATACTGATGATAAAGATGCTCACTAATGATTACTGTTTATGCTATTCATTATTCATGTTTACCTGATCATGTGTTTATATGGGCATGTGAATAAACTTGTCGCCACCCAATTGCTAAAAGATGACTCATTAAAAGTTAATCGTAGTTAAACCAGTGTCAGTCTTTTGAGCCTCATGAACCTCATGTTATATTTGTTGAGTATGACATGTACTTACACTTGCTTTACTTTTTAAATCTTTGAAAAAATGCCGGATGGGTACCAGATTGCTAATGTGGAGGAATTAGACTTGTGATCAACCAGTCAGTTGTTCCTATTGAATTGAAGTCTTCACCTAAAGATCGGAGTTGTTTTTCCGCTGTTTGTTGTCTAAGGTTATATCATTTATACTAAGTATGTTATATTTTGAGCATTGTCTTTCGATATTACCCTTATTTGTAGCTATATTTGAGATTTGACACCCTGGGCTCACATATGGTGCATATCTGGTTTTGTTCTTAAAATCGGGTGCTACAAAGTGGTATCAGAGCAATGTTGACTGTAGGACGCAAGCCTAGTAGAAACTGGTCATTCTAAGGTTTAGAAGTTGCTACAAAAACCCTTACTCTATGAATCTTGATATTTTCTTCTCTACTATATCTCTATCCTTGCTATTCATCTCTACCTTGGTGCTTATTTTAAAAGTCTTTGTTCTCATCTCCACTCCTTGATTTGATATGATTTTAGAACACCATCTTCTTGCGTCATCGGAAGAGGAGCTTTAGGATATTTGCCCTTAATATGGACAAAACGATAGTATCGCCAGTTGAGTCAATGATTGAGTTGTGCTCCTTTATTGCTTTGTTGAATTGTCATTATGCTTATGATTGTTTCGCATCTTTGAAATGACTGCAATGATCTTGTTGAGTGTCCCCACAATTTTATTTAGTTCATAGGCCTAAGGTATAAGGATTAATGGAATAAATAGTTGGGTTTTGGTTATCTCCTGTTTCCTCTATCCTGTCTTATCAGAGCAGCCTGCACTCTTCGGCTTATATCTCTGATTTTGGATGATCAAAAATCATGAGAAAATTCTAGACAACAGTAGACTTCGATATCTTTCTGTGACCACAAGAATCACCTTGATAGTTATTTTGGTTATGGAGTTATGAAAATCACAAGACGATGCAACCGCGCTATCTAAAATATGGAGCAGTTTCTGTTGTGCCCTATTTTTGACTACCTGAACTGCAGAATTTGGAAAAGTGTTTTATAAGGAAGTTGTGGATGATTTGATAAGCTTTCCAATGGTATAAACTACAACTTCATTGGATTAATAGAATGAGAGTTACGGTTGTTTTTACTATGCTATTGTTTTTTATCCCGCGAGGAATTTCATATATCTTGTTCTTACCCATAGACAAGAGTATCATGGGGATGTCAGAACATCTTGATACTAGTTAGCTCGTCTAGAAGAAGATGCAAGCTACCCTTTTTGTGTCCCCTAGTTTATCTTTTCTTAAGGGGGTAGCCAAGTTGAACGATTTGTAAGATGCATTTTCTTACATTCTAGCGCTTCATTTGTAAGTATCACTTATCTCTAGGGTTGGACTTCTCTTGTCTGTATTGCCATCAATCCTATCTTGTCACCTCTTGAAGCTACAATTAAGGATGTTATGAATGATTGGATCCTAATGCATATATGTTGAAAATAGATGGTTGCTATCAGGAGAAGTGCTTCGCTCCTCCCTGTGTCCTAGGTCCTCGACCTAAAGCCAGCTCTAGAACCTCATAAACCGACTGAGGTCAACAACCCCTCTGGGAGAGGTTAACTGGACGGACAGAAGAACACTACTACAGAACAGGTATTCAACGCGGGCTCCAGACCCCCATCACCGCCGGTTTTGGCCCTTGGAAGTGTAAGTCGGCGGTGATGCCCATTGTCATTAGTGCCGGTTAGGAAACTGGCGGTGATGAAAACTTATCACCACCGGTTCGTGTTACCAGCAGGTGGTGATAAGTATTTTTAGAAATTCCAAAATTGAGTCAAAAATAGTAATTTTTTTAAATCCTGGGGAGGCCCCACCAGCCAGTTGCACGGTCGCGCGTCGTAAGTCAGAAATTTTTTTAACACTTTTTTAAAACTATTTTTAAATCTGACACTGTTTAATTTTTTTCAAATCGAACACTTTTGGCCGCGCGCTATTCGCATGGCGCGGCGAATTCAAGCTATCGCGTCATGACAACGTCCCGGCCCGCTGGTTGCTGACGTGGCGGGCCTTACCGTGCCACCGATCAGGGCACGACAGTGATGCGCCACCCATCATGGCGCGGCAGCGCAAAGCCAGGATTCATGACCCGGTGAGGTCGTGCTCGATTGCGACGTCTCAAGCAGGGTCAATTGCAGCACAGCAGGCAATTGATTCTGATCCCACGTCGTAGCTGCAGCAGGCTACCTCGTCCTCGTCGTAGCAGACTAGCAGCAGCAGGCCTGGGTCTCCGGCTCTCCGCTGGACGGATGCATGGAGGATCCATCTCTACTCTACGCCAGCGTCTGCTTCTCTCTTTTTACTTCCATCGTGTACTAATAATCTTAACGTTGTAATCTCGGTTGCGTTCTATCGGCAGACACTGGTCGCGCGGCAGTCGTCTGAATTTTTATTAGTACTTGGAAATCATCTAAAAATTAATATATTGTTATTTGTTTTGCCATCACATCGTCTTATGATATAATCTAATTCTGTTAGTTTTTCATTGGATTCTTTCATTGCCTTGTCTAATTTTGGTGAGAATGGGTGTAAGAACATATAGATTTAATTTATACATGCAACAATTTTATTTTTAAGAAAGTTCTGTAGCAACATGTGGGGTATCCTTCTAGTTAAAGTAATTTTCATGTCAAACTTTGCCACAACTGTGGCTGCCGCGCTTTGCCTAAACCTTGGTTGTTGCAAAGTTAGGCGCCAACCAAATAGGAATATTCGTACTGCTTGAAAGATATTTGTGATTGATATTCAACTTTGTGGCAAGGCTTGAATGTATTATCATTAACATTTACAAACAAGAATTTTGGTTATTGTAAGTTGAAATTTCTACTTTGTGGTTTCTATTATATTCTATGTGTCCCTGCGCCTTTTTGTTTGTTATTTCATCAATTTACATTTTGTTGATTCTGTGATGCAGGACACAGCTGGCGTGTGCCAGGTAGCTAGGAAGATGTATTCTTTTATGTGATGCGCTCAAGCACCCCAAGCTGACTTGTTTTTCTGGCATCATTTGCAAGTTTTTTTCTTACAATAACCAAAATTCTTGTTTTTCTGGCACCCCAAGCGTGGCGGACGCGCAGGCCAGCGCCCGACACGGGGACGGCACGGTGGTCCCACATGTGGTCCAGGCGTAGCCGGCAGCGCCTGCGGCTGACGACGACGCTGGTCCGTCGGTGGACAAGCACTCGACGGCGGCGGGCTCGGGAGGCCCCGCGAACTCGTACCGGATGGTGTTGCTGGAGCCGGTGGAGGGACGGTGGGCGCCGCTGCCGCCCCCACCGTGGCCAAGCGAGAGCCTCCCCCTCTTCTGCCAGGTGGCCGCCGTGGACGGTGCCGATGGGCAGGGGAGGAAACGGCTGGTGGTGGTCGGCGGCTGGCACCCGGAGACGTGGGCGCCGACGCACGTGGTGTTCGTCTATGACTTCCTGACAGGCGCGTGGCGGTGCGGCGTGCCCATGCCGGGCCCGCGCCGGTCCTTCTTCACCTGCTTGGCCGTTGGCGGCGCCGTGTACGTGGCCGGCAGCCACGACGACGAGAAGAACACCCTGCGGTCGGCACTCGCCTATGACCCGAACGCCGACGCATGGGCGCAGCTCCCGGACATGGCAGAGGAGCGCGACGAGCCGCGCGGGATCTGCGTCGTCGCCGGGGGAGGTGGCAGGTTCCTCGTCGTCGGCGGGTACCCGACGCAGGCGTAGGGCCTCGTGGCGCGCGACGGCGTCGCAGGAGCGGTGTCGGCGTGGCGACCGGTGGCGCAGGTGCTCGAGGACGCGCGCACCGCGGCGACCATCTCCGCCATCCTGGACGGCCGTGTCGTGGTCATCGGAGAGGGAGGGATCGAGTCGATGACACGTGGGCCCCACATGTCACTGAGATGGAGGTTGCGTGTCAAAACCGCTCAACGTCGGTCAAAACAGCCTTGCCCCCGCCCAGGTGCTAAAAGTGAACGGTTTTGACAGTTGGGGTACCGGTACTATACGGTTTTGTAGTTGAGGGCTAAAATTAGACCGACACAATAGTTGAGGGGCCAAAAAATGGAGTTAATCCTTTTCATTAATGGGACAATAACTACATGATGGAACCCATTTTTCCTACATCCGGAGTCACTACCAAATCTAATCCGATTGAAACTAACCTTACCACCTTACAACTCTCTACTAAATCATATGAAAACCAAATAGACTAGGCCATTAAATATGTGATGATAGTCTGACTGAAACTAACCTTACCACCTTAACATGTTTCAATTGGCTCGTCCCCTCAGATCAGTAAACAAGCCAATCCACTCATTCAGATGATCTGCAAATAGAAGAGAACAAAAAAAAATGGTGTGTATTTAACTAATATAGTAATAGAAGTTCAGTTATCTTTTACATAAATTGGAAGAATCTCCAAATGTACGTATTGGTTTACTTAAACGAATGTGCAGAAACACTGTTGTTCTAGGGACTCACAGCCCATCTGTGTCAATAAGATTTATTAGATTACACAAGAAGCTAAGTGTGTAACTTTAGTGGTACCTTCACCAATGACATCTAACAACAATGATAGGAATTTCACAATCCATGTAAATACAAAACTGCATCTCATGACCCGAAGGTTCAACCGAAAAAAGGATTTGCTCAGTAACCACAAACTCAACAGTATTTTGCAATTTTATAGGTTATGCTATAAACTGCAGGTTAAAATATATTTATAACTTGCACTACGTCATATAGTATTTGTAGGGGCGGCTCTAGAGGCTCTGTAGGGGCGGTTTGCCTAGCCACCCCTACCCAAGCGTCTCTATAAATCATGTATTTGTAGGAGCGGCTGTATATTGAGCCGCCCCTATAAATCAATTTTCAGAAATTATGAAAAAAGGGGCAAAAAATAGCAATTTTTTTATCCGAGGAGGTCCCCACCGGCATCCACACACCCACTCTATGGTTGCAGCATTTTTTCATGATTTTTGCACACTTTGCGTCGGCCGAGATTCGAACCGCAACCTCTCCCTCGCGTGCAAACTCCTCTACCACTACACCTCACGATCACTTATGTCTACAATCTATTTTGGTTCCCCATGTATTATACAAAACTGAGCATAAATTGATTGTTTAAGGCCCTAAACTAATTCAAATGAAAAAGTTGTCAACTACAAAGTTTTATAACTTTTCGAGATCTACAACTTTTATTTTGGTAGTTTCTCCATCCGAGGTCACTTATAAAATTTGAATTTCAAATTTGAGAAATTCGAACGTAGTTTTCCATAACAAGATGATTTCAAATGAGTAAGTTATCAACTACAAAGTTTCATAACTTTTCGAGATATACAACTTTCATTTTTACTGTTTGTCCATCCGAGGTCATTTAAAAAATTAAAATTTTAAATTTTTGAAAATTCAAACGTAGTTTTCCTTGACAAGATGATTTCAAATCAAAAAGTTGTCAATTATAAAGTTTCATAACTTTTGGAGATCTACAACTTTCATTTTGGTTGTTTCTCCATCCGAGGTCGTTTACAAAATTTGAATTTTAGTTCTGAATTTTTAATACTCGGTGTCTATTTGTAGGGGTTGTTCAATATTGAGTCACTCCTATAAATCTGATTTTTAGGGGCGGCTGATAACACCGGCCGCTCCTACAAGTCTATTTGTAAGGACGGCTCATTTGGCAACCATTTGTAGGTACAAAAAAAGGGAGGCATTGCAACAAATCGTTTTTTTAGTAGTGTTGCTCACTGACATTGAACAAAACTCGCAATGATCTCACCAATCAAGTTATGCACAATCAACTTATGTTCCAAAGGCTTAACCAGTAAAGTCACCACCATATTGTCCCAATACCAATTTCTTTGACAATAATTACAGAGTGCTTAGAGATAACATATTCTATGCCATTCAGAATAACCAGAGTATTATAAAAAAAAAGTGACATATAAGTATAGAACCATCTCACCTTCATTTCTCCCTCTGAACCAGCAAAGGCATCATAAAAGGCCACGGCAATTCCACCATGTTGCCCAGCACCTCCGCTACATCTCACCTTCATATCTGTTTGCAATCGGTGATCATCAGGAAACAGTAAAAATCTGGTAAATGAAATGTTTCACTTTCCACATGCTTTCAGTAATAAGTTGCGTGAAAAAAAAATATATACCATTGTTTCATCCAGAGTAATACGTTTTTTTTGACCTCTCAAAGAAAAGCCATCTTTTGTTAGGAAATTTAGTGCGGAACATGTTCAAAGAAAGGAAAATAGAATCCTGAGATTCTGCACACACAAAAAAACTACCTGTAACGAAGATGAAATCAGCCCGGTATTTACAGGAGAAAGAGAGAAAGATCGAACCACTGTCCTCTGCTTAACTGCGGCGGCGCGATGATGGTTGGAGCCGAGGCACGGCGCAGCACTGCCGGGATGCGCTGCAGCGACATGGCCTGACGAGAGGCGGGGCGGCGACGCGGTGCAATTGGGCCGGCGGCCAGCGCCGGACAGAGTCACGGCCAGAGTCACTAGTGCTGATTGGGGGTGGGGGTGGGGGGGGGCAGGGGTATGGTGGGCTAGCCAGACGGAATTGGAGGTTTGGGCCATTCGGAGGGGCGGCGCACGTCCATAGATCAGCCGTCGGGGCTCCTTGGTCTACGCGCGGCGGCGGTTTGGACAGAAGTGTAGGAGATACAGAGCAAGGGGGTGTTTGGTTCGTTGTCGCATCGGATGTTTGACATATGTACGAAGTATTAAATATAGATTAATTATGAAACTAATTGCATAGTTTGCGACTAATTTGTGAGACGAATCTTTTAATCCTAATTAGTCCAGGATTTGACATGTGGTGCTACAGTAAACATATGCTTATGGCGGATTAATTAGGCTTAATAAATTTGTCTCGTGGAGTACTGACGAATTCTGTAATTTATTTTTTTATTAGTATCCGAACACCCAATGCGATACCCCCATGTAACACCTCCTAAATTTTAATCATTGGATCCCAACACCGCCTAAATAGGGAAATGACTGGGTAGGGTTTCCTATTTGTTTTGCACTGACGGCGACCACGCGGGCCGTCTGGCCCAGACCAGCGCGCGAAAACTTCGAATTTGATGGGAGGGAGACCCAATTTCTTAGCAGTCTGCGATGGCGCTAATTTGTACTTTCCTCCTAGTTCCCAAAACGGACATATTTGTTTTTTATAAAACAAAATTTTAAGGGTTTATTTAATCCGTAAAGATACATTTTTAAAAAAATAACTTAGTGCCAAATAATTAAATTTAAATTATTTTCCTGACCAAACATATCAAACTAAGGTTTTATTGCAAAAAAACATAAAGTTGGATCTTGAGTACTTGAGTATCAGCTTGAATCTTAGAAGAGGAGTGGGACTTGGGCCATGTTTAGTTCCACTGAAATCCAAAATTTGGCACTATGCAAAAAGAAGATTTCCCGCCACATCAAATTTGCGGTACATGCATGGAGTACTAAATGTTGACGAAATTAAAAACTAATTGCACGGTTTGGTTGTATTTTACGAGACGAACGTTTTGAGCCTAATTAGTCAACGATTGGACAATTGTTACTAAATAAAAACAAACGCTACAGTGCGCTACAGTACTAACGAATTCGGTCGGCGCCGAATCTGGCCGGAACTAAACGCGACCTTGAGTACTTACTATAATCATGTGCTAATGAAATAAAGCAACATGTTATAGTATCGCTTTGTTAAAATAGTTAAAAAATTTATAAGATGATTATAAACCAAAAATATATTTCCATACCTGTTTGTAGATTTTTTTAACAAAAATTTAGATATTAATCCAATTATTCTGTGGGAATTTGGTCAAAAAATCTATAGAATGACATGGGAACATATATTGGGTCCATAAGCTTTACGTAAAAAATTCAAATGTTTTCAATAAAGTCGGACTATATTATTCACAAATAGATATATCTCTCACTTAGTTTAGTGTAACTATATAAGATATGTATTCATTTGTTAATAATTTATAATACCTGTTAAATCATTGGAAAATTTTATGGAACAATCATACTCCGTACACCGAAAATATGGTGCCATGTCTTAATAGAATTTGGAGATACAAGGATGAATTATTCCTATTAAACAAATGATTCCTTGAAAAATTTAATAATCTACACAACAACATATGGTGGGTGCACGGAGTGCCTTGAGTGGTTCATAAAGCATGATTAATGAAGGCTAGCACTCTTAGTGGTTTAAATACAAATAGAGTGATTCACGTAGACTATGAAATATTGATATTACTATTTACACAATGTAGACTATCACTACTTGTGGTTTGCACAGAAACTTTTTGCGAAAAGGAGAACAGCCAGATGAAAAGGGCCCTGCCCAACAACACTACTACGCACACGATTTGTAAGGGCGGCTCCAGATGGTTTGTAGGGGCAGTTTTGGCAACTGTCCCTACAGCGCTGTTGCTATAAATCGCATTTGTAGGGGCGGCTCAAGATTTGTAGGGGCTGCTGATTTCCAGAAATCACGATCCCGGGTCCAAAAAATAACAATTTTCTTAATCCGGGGAGGCCCCCACGGGGTCCAAAAAATAGCAAAAATAGCAAAAGTCACATGCTTCACGGCTGCAGGGATTCAAACCTGCAACCTCCTCCCGCACGTACCCTCCTCAACCACTACACCTCACACTATCTTATGTCCACATTGAATTTTGGTTCCCCACATATTATCCTAAACCGAATATAAATTGATTGTTCGAGGTCCTAAATGAATTCAAATAAAAATGTTGTCAACTACAAAGTTTTATAACTTTTCGATATCAACAACTTTCATTTTGGTATTTTCTCCATCCGAGGTCGTTTACAAAATTTGAATTTCAAATTCCAGAAATTCAAGCGTAGTTTTCCATGACAAAATAATTTCAAATGAAAAGTTGTCAACTACAAAGTTTCATAACTTTTCGAGATCTATAACTTTCGTTTTTGTTGTTTGTCCATCCGAGGTCGTTTAAAATATTCAAATTTAAAAAAATTGAAAATTCAAACGTAGTTTTCCTTCACAAGATGATTTCAAATCAAAAAGTTATAAACTACAAAGTTTCATAACTTTTCAAGATATACAACTTTTATTTTCATTGTTTTTCCATCCGATGTCATTTATAAAATTTGAATTTCAAATTTGTGAAATTCAAACATAGTTTTCCATGACAAGATTATTTCAAATGAAAAAGTTGTCAACTACAAAGTTCTATAACTTTATGAGATCTACCACTTTTATTTTGATTATTTGTTCATCAAACACAGTAGTACTAACATTGTTAAGAAATTTTACATATCCCTCTCATAGTTTATAAAATTATAAGAGAGATTTATAAATTTTGTGAACAATGTTGTACCACTTGTCGGATGAAGAAATGATCAAAATAAAAGTTGTAGATCTTGAAGAGTTCTACAACTTTTATGTTCATGACTTTTGCAACTGAAATCAATTAATATTTTAAAATAACGTTTAAAGTTGTTATTTTTTGAAATTCAAAATTCAAATAGATAAAACATAGTCACATGAAAAGATGAACAAAATAATAGCTCTAAGAATACAATAAATTAATAGAGCATGACTTTAGAAAATTTTAGGAAAAAAATCATCAAATTTGAAGTTAGTATGCGAGAGAAAGACTAGTTACAAGTTTTAGCCTAAGATTAAAAAGAGAAATTAGAGTTCTTCAATAATTTCAAAATTAAATTTCAAACAATATTTTAAAGCAGTAAATGATTTCAAATAAAAAAGTTATAAACAACAAGGTTTCATAACTTTTCGAGATCTAGAACTTTTATTTTGGTCATTTCTCCATCGGAGGTCGTTTGAAAAAAATTCAAATTTTAGTGCTTAATTTTAACTATTCGACGTCGGTGGCTCAATATTAAGCCGCCCCTACAAATCAGGCCATTTGTAGGGGCGGCTGATAACACCAGCAACCCCTACAAATGGATTTGTAAGGGTGGCTCATTTTGGCACCATTTGTAGGGGCGGCTCAATATAGAGCCGCCCCTAAAAAAAAGGGACGTTGCTACAAATCATTTTTTAGCAGTGAAACACTTGAATTTTTCCCTCAAACTCGCACACCGTCTTGAAATGCATGCATGTGTACTCTAGTGACTACCAAATGAAGCAACATTTATCGCATTTTGTTTCTCGTACATAGAGCATCTGTTGTTTTGTCTGACTTTATGTTTCATGATTAAGTCATTTGATTTGCAGAAATGTTATGAACTATGTTGTGATCGACTATCATTAATTTTGGACCAAAATTTTGTTTGATTTTAAATTTGAATACTAAGATTTTCATTTATAGTTTTATGTATAGTGCTTTATATTGTTATAGTTTAAATAAATTGTTATATAATGTGATGATCTCAAATACATATGCATATAATGTACGAGAAAATAGAGGAAATTAAGAGTAAAGACCTGTTTTGAGGGCTTCTGCTAGAGTGTAGCCCAAAAAACAAGGGCCTCAAATATCAAGTAGGGATCCTATTTTGAGGCTATGAGTTACTCTGCGGTACTTTTTCTTGAAATGCTTAGGCGCAAAAATGTCAGTAACTCATCTAACCACGTCCAAATAAAACAATGATAATTTGATGACGAATATCGTAAGTTCATTGATTCAAAAAGATATTGCAAGTCCATCGGTGGCCATATTACAAACTCCAAATTCCAGCGTTGTTTTGCGAAATCTCAAATTCCCGCATTCATCTCCGTCACGCTAGTAAACTCCAAATTAGTTGTATACTAGGTAACATGCCCGTGCGTTGCTACGGGACAACTAAACTTTTGTACTAAAAACACACGGATCGCATGATAAAATAACAATACAGTAAAATTAAATACGGCCGTTAAAGTGACATTTAATTCAAAAGGCAAAGTTCGTGTAATTAATACGGTTACGGAGAGCGCGGCGTCGCAAGCTCACCAACTCTACTGTATAGACCTTTCCATGCGTTGCAACGGGAACAACGAAAAATTTCACGTGATGTATGTTGCTTGGTATTATTCAAGGACTCCTTCAAGCCAAAATTAAAATATTTAGAGTTCATATCTCTATATTGCTAGACGTTTCCATTTTGTGTTGTTTTCATCGACAAAACTTCGGGTTTGTTTGGATGTCTTAAGAAAAATAAAAATATGGTGGAAAAATGAGAATACGATCTAAACACTCTAGAATTAGATTGTAAAATCCAACTTCTACCACAAACCTCTACTATTTGATGATTTGCACTATGCTAAGGCAATAATCACTGTGAGAATAAGATCCAAACACTCATAATTTTATCTAGAATCCAGATTCACAATCTAGAGTCTAAAATATCGCTACGAGGATGAGATCCAAGCATTCCTTTCATATCATCCAAATATGCAATCCATGTTACCAATCTAAACCTCGTAGTTTCTAGAGCTGAGCTACTTGTTCTCAAGTCTATTACCACCAAATAATAGCAATAAAACTTATGATTCATGAAAGAGGATGAGAAGTCCTAGCTTAATATAAAACAAGACACAAACTGTGTTTAGCACATTGTGATTGCCAAAAAAAAAGAAAAAGCATGCTTGTACCTCAATCAATCCTAAATGAACTCGTGCTAATACCACGGCGATATTTAAACCACCAAAATATTATAATCACCACCAAGTTGAGTCTCCCCATTTGGAGGCAAAAAAATATTCAAGGGAGATGGCTGCAGTGACTAAATCGATGCTATATAATGACATCACATGAACCTACATTTAGGTGATAAACATGCTATTTGGCATATATGTGGTAATAACACAACATATTTAGGAACAATGGACACATGCCAAAAATCAGTATCACGGGTCAATCAAATGGCAAGAACTAAATTCATGGCTAATCCCAACAAAGAAACAGGTCACTTGCCTACAGGTAAGGACAGAGCATTGACACCTTTATAGAAGAAACCTAATCATAAATAAATAATCTGTTGCTAAGTTGACCATACCACTTTCATTTTTTGGATTACAGTGATAAGTCATGAAAATCACTCTATCAATAAAAATATATAGTTGTAACCAATCAACTATTTTCCGCTGCAATTCTAATGGCCTGCATCCTGAATTATCATATAAGAATATAAACTATCACAATTGTGACATACAAAATATAGTAACCAAAACCTCTTCTGATTACAGCACATCAAAATGGAAATTGGATAAAAAAAAATTAACTCACAGACTATACATCTACATACACACCAGGACCAAACATAACTATTTCCCAATAAGAAATATACCAAGATCGGCTGTAGAGAGCAGCACATATCAAATGAGAGGACTGCAGCCTTGCAAGCATGTTTAGGATGGCAAGTTGATAGTACAATGTCTTCTTGATCCAGTAACCCCCAAGAAATCCTAGCCGTCTTCTTCTTACAGTTCGATTAAGACTCCAAGCTGCAAAATCATAGATTCGGCATAAATGGTTTTTTTTAGAACAAACGATTTTATTTCAACAGCATCTTGCTGATAGTAACCTTACAGAGTTCAGGCGTACAGATTGCAATGCCTGCATTAATGGGCATTGGTTTACATGATGGTTGTAGCAACAAGAAGACTCTAAATTTAAAATCCGTGGATCAGAGTCTGTGAGAGCCAGTCTAGCTAAGCATAAATGGTTTATATAAGATATATATGGACAGTGCACCATTTCATTTTAAATAATCTATATGTCAGTTACTTAGTTCTAACATGAAAGATCACCAAAACAGCAACATATAAAAAAGCAGTGTGCTAGAGACGTCACCTTGCATCCTCTGTTAGAGAGGTTAGCCACCAGCAGCAGGATCAGCTGCGTTCAACCTGTCGACTGTCATCAAATGTCGTGTCGTGACCAACAGCGCAAGCCCCGCGCAACTGCGCTATGCCATAAATCATCGCCTGGTGTACCTGTTCCCAAGCGTCCATGACGAGCTACATTAGAAAGTGAACCTGTGAGAAGGGAAAAATCATAGAAAATTAATAGATAAACTAATATGGGTAAAACCTCTACATCTCATACAACTATGAGGCTGTGAAAAATGAAGTACCTCTACTCCAAGAGGCTTGATTTGTCCCAAAGCTTTAGCTGCACCGAATACAGCTGCAGAGCCTCCCATGTCTAATTTCATCAGTTCGATGCTGCAGCCTGGCCCGGTCATAATGTTGTAGCCACCACTGGATTCATAGGCAAATCAAGCATAAGAAAAATAACAAACTATTCCACCTTCATGTCTACTTCTAGTTTTTCATGAAGCCACTAAAAATGTTGCAAGTACTACAAAGTACAAACCTGTCAAAAGTTAAACCCTTCCCAACAATAGCCAGCTTTCTCTTGACGTTCCCATCAGTGGGTTTGTAACACAATAGCAACTCCCAAGTAGGAACCCATCTTCAACTCTTTGCATTTCTCTACATCTAGTATTGTGGCAGCGAACACATCACTATAAGTACAAGCGATCTTTGATGCCTCCTCCACAAGCACAGCTGAAAGGACAAAGGATGACTGTAATAAGTATACTGACAATAATTCTATGAAGAACAATAAAGTGTGCATCTTCTCAGTCATTCTGATAGATCAGTTATTATTTACATAATATGGAAGAATGGTTTCCAGCTCAAATTTGAGCATCACAGAGCATCATTGTGCGGATAAGAAAAGTTTGGTTTGATAAAAGTACCGATCTATACAGGTTACTGTACAATTCCTAGATAGCTCTCTACACCAATGCAAAAAAATGTTTATTTATCTCAGAGATTACAACGGTGGATACCATCCTATCTTCTGATAATGCATAGTCTCAGACTCTCAGTGCAAGCTATTGCATTAGCAATCTGATTTTGCCTATCCTTCATGTGAAGAAGCTTCCCGATAAATACTTCGTCTCACCACTACATGTGATTCGGATTTGGCGCGCATTAGTTTTTGTTAATTGTGCTCATTGACTGGGCAACATGTTATAGAAGAAACTGCAATTATTCGGTCAAAGCTTGCTGGTGTGGTGACTGGTGAGGTTCAGTTCCTGACTAACAAAAACTGTAGAACAGTGTAGCTAGGTTCTACTAATGTCGAGTCCAGTAGCTTACGACATTCAGAAATGGAACATTATTACCTACCTTTACTGCTCTGATATCAAGGTTTATTTCGAGGACTGCAAAGGATCCAAGTTGTGCTTTGTCATCAGGTCGTAGTTCATGGATGCTAGCTGAGAGATGTTCTGCACGTCACAGAAAAAAGAAGAAGGAAAGGACAATTCAGTCATCAAAGACAATATTCAGAAAAGAAAACTCTTATGAAATGGAACAGGGTATTTTTTAGATAATAGTTTACCTTGAATGAGAAGTTGGTGAAAGAATATTTCACCCGCTCCGGCGTTCTTGCTGATCTTGTTCTTCTCGGCGGGGGAAGGGAGCAACAAGTCTGTGATAATAACTGATAATAAGAAGTCATTCAGAAAATGTCCTATTTATTGTTTAGCTATTCATAACAATGTCTGCTATTTCTTTATGATATTAATATCCACTATGATGATCTAGGCTAGGAGCTGTGCTGTTCCATCAAAAGAATAGTAGTAATTTGTGTGGACGAAACTGTGAAAATTTAACATGCAAATTATGTGCCCACCAATGTATGGTCGAGCTTGACAATGTCAGTCATAGAGATACATACAGTCTAAGGGGTCTGGTCCACAACATCATACTTAGGTAGAAAACAGCACAGCAAAACACCAAGCATGAGTAAAGCAGTAAGTGAGAGTGGATCAAGATTGAGATTTCTTTTCATGGACACCACCGGCTGATAAAAATATAGATTTGCAATTATTCATGGACACCACGCAATACGGAAGAATTGCGCAATTTATATAGTAGATAGCTACATTATCAAATTATCTACAAAAAAATATTATATTCTTTGGTCAGGCAAGCCCATCTAGCAGAATAAACAAGAATACAAAATGACTACCTACTGCAGGAACAAATATATTCATTGTGCAGCTACCCAAAAATCGGTATCATAAAAACAAATGACTATCAAAGTATGAACTGCAGGAACAAACATATTTTAGCAAGGCCAATAAAAATATTCTAACATATCTAGTAGCAAAAGGACTTAAGTCTAAGTTCAGTAGCCCCAAGTTCGATCTAATTTTTTATAACTTTTTTATAACAACACTAGTTCGTTTAACTTACACAGAGCTACTTGTGTGCTGATTCAAGTCCACCAACAGCTGGTGTTCGCCACTACAAGTACGGGCCACTGCAAAATTTACAAAGCATCATTGACCATTATTCTGATTTGGGAACTGCATCACCATCTGACCAATGATTAGTAGTGGAGCACTCAAAATACGTACTGCTACCAATTTCGTTGGTTAAGGATCAGACACAATCATCAGCGCATTCCATAGGCAATGAAGGGGGGGCAACAAAAGGGAAGGAAAGACCGCATACCAGCACGAACGGGGTTAATGCTCATCTCGCCACCCTTCATCCTTGTATCCACTCAGCAGTTGCCACCTCTCGCCATCCAGGAGCCAGATCTAGGACGACCGCGCCATATCCGCCATACGTGCTGCTTCTCACCATCCCTGGCCTGGCCGCGATCGTGACCAGGCAGCAGCGGCCGGCGGAGGGCCTGATGCCACCATGGTCGCGGGGAGCAGGGCCATCGTCGGTCGAGGGGAGCAGGGCAGCGCCCCCGTCAGAGAGCAGAACCTTGCTATTCAAAAAAAAGCTCACTGAAAAAGAAATCTATATGGCCCAAAAAATTCGATACAAACCTGAATACATGCATGTCAAAGCTAAATTTTCAGTGACCGAACAATTCAGATACAGGGACAAACTGAGCCTAAAAATAATCTAATTTGCTAGGGACCGAAGCACATGCATGTCAAAGCTAAATTTCCAGTGACTGAACAATGCGCATACAAGTAAATTCTTCAGGAAGCCCCATTCATCATTTGCAAACATAGGGACCTGAGAAATTCATACCTGATCTTCACAAATAATTCCAACAAAACCAGTATTGCAAGAATTTACCAATGCGGATGACACATAGATAAATTTTTTTTACTGCCATGACTGCATCCGACCACATAATATGAAATAATAAAAAAAATCAGATGCACGCAATAGAACGGATCATGGAATAAAATAAATCTCTTCTCTATGATTGAAATAGGCACAGATGGATAAGAGATCAATATATATTCAGACTCTGAATAAGAACACAGATGGATGACTAAAAACATCAGAGACAGTATTCCTAATAACCATTTGTACATAAACTCAAATAAATCTGAGCATTTTTAGTTCTAGTGTATTCCTAATGTTTCAACCGGAAACACCAATATATTTCATGTAACAGTAGGTGGCTCCTTGCTCCTCACTCCTCACTGTCTCTTTGCACATATTGCTATCCTGACGCTGCCCTATTGCAATGAGAATTTATGTTTCAAATATACAGACATTGCAGCGCAATCTAGTTAAAATTGGGCACATATAGATAAATAAGAATAAAAGGATAAGAACAATGGAATTTTAGGATATTTAATAAAAAAAATCAGATGCACGCAATAGAACGGATCATGGAATAAAATAAATCTCTTCTCTATCATTGAAATAGACACAGAAGCACAGGGACAGCTGCTGCCTGACGGACCAAGCTGCACAGTAGATTGAGCAGCACTGGTGTGCTTCGGTGCTTTTTACCCAAGCCGAGAGCTAAGTGCTAGCTCTCTGGAATTCCTAACCGAAGCACAACCTGATGAAGCACTGGTTGCTGCAGTTGAACGAAATCACATAAACGCAGAAGCAATTTCACCTGCGGGATCTGGAACTGCACAGACCCACACGCAGCAAGCATGAACTGGAACAGACACGCACGGAGAAGCACACAGAACCGCGGTCGCCGGTGACCAGCTCGACGCACAACCGAAGAACACCGTGGGGGGCTTAGAACCAAACTCGGCTGCAGGAGCTACGACGTGGACAGACACTGCCGTGCCTGCCTGCACCAATGGCCCAACGGTTCTCACACGAACGAGCACCAGGAGACCGACGAAGAACAGAGCGCCAGAGCTCTTGGAACAGAGAGAAGCCGGCCCAAAAATCGAACGAAAATCGATCAAGAACTCCATCAATAGTTCCCAAAATTTGCACAGGTAATCACCAAGGAGTTAGTGAGCTATCCCGAAAGAATCGTCGCCCAATTTCTACCCAATCTCCGAGAAATTTCAGATCGAGACAAGAACACGAAAAAGTCCCCCAAAACGAAAATCATCGATTTCTACGTGCTCGAGTCGATTCAATTCAGTTAACTCTTAGAGTAGCTTCAACTCATGTCATAGCACGAATCAACGCAAAAAGAACGAGTCAATTTGCCTCAAATCGATGAGGGCGACGGTACGGGCGAGGACAATGGCGCGGGCGATAGCGCAGACCTGACAAGCGCGAGGGCAGAGCGAGGACGGAGGGGAGATGGATCCCGGCGAGGGCGGCGGCGCGGTCGTCGTGGATCCCGGCGGCGCGGCCTTCGTGGGAGCGGCCGCGGCGCGTGCACGGCGGCGTAGTGCCGGGCGCGCTGGCAGGCGGCCGGGCGAGCGTGCCGGAGACGCAATCGCTTGGCACCAGGGTGATGACGGCGAAGACCGCCCGGGATGGTGATGACGGGGGCGGTGGATGAGGACGACGCGCGTGGAAAGAAGCTGTCTGCGACTGGGATCGCGGGGATGGTGATGACGGGGGCGGTGATTGTGGCGTTTTAGCTGCTTGCGCGAGGACGGGAGGCGGGTATCGCAGGGAAGGCGGAGCAAAGACGAAAAAAAAAATCACACTAAAAAATAGCCTTACTTTTGTTTTTTTAATTGCAGGAGATATACGTGGTGATTTTCGTCCGACTCCTGCCGCCCTTTTCGTCCATCGCCCTCGTCCCCTTCCTCCGTTCCCGCGCAGTCCAGAAAGCGAAAAAAAATCTAGCCTCCGCCTCCGGCCTCCGGCCCCCGTCCCCAAATAGAGAGGAAAGGTCGATAAAGGAGGCGGCGGGACGAAGGAGGCGGCGCCGCGGAGCCGCAACCAGCGCAACGAGGGCGGGGTCGTTGCTCTGTTGGCAGCCCGACGAGGGCAGGACGATGGAGCCGGCGGGGCGGCGGTGCGGCTAGCCCGACGAGGACGGTATGAAGGATGCGGCGGCGAGGTGAAGCCTCTCCGATCCATCTCCTCTGCTATCCGTCTCCGCACCTAGAAAGTCTCCATGGGACCACATCAAGGTGAGAGCATTTCTAGAATCCGTACCTTCATAGGTTCGCACACAAGCTGTTCGACAGAATGCTTAATGTGCTTATTCATCACGGCTGAGGCCTGAGGGGCTGACTTTTGGTTAGGTAATACTAGTAACAAGCCAACCGCTTTTGATTCCATATCCCATAGGCATCATTTAGTTTTCTCCCAAACATTTATGTACTGTAACTTGCAAGAAATTCGTGCTGTAATGTTCTCTTCAATGGTACAGGCTGAAATATTTTCCCATGGATCTTGTCTCTGCAGAATTCATATACGCACTTAAGTGTAAGAATCACTTGAAATTTTCTGCATTTCTATCTTGATCTTGTAGTTGTTTCAAAGTGCATAATATTCTATCTTATATCTCAGTGATTTGCAGTCCACCATACCATTTGAAAATTTAGAATGGTGTGGTTGGCATCAATGCTTAGTGTAGCTTTGTATGATCGAAGTGTTGTTAAATATAATTTGTTAAGCTTGTGTTACTTCAACTGTTATCATTGGCTGGTATTAACCCTCTTTGATGTGCCAATTTTTCAAATATTTTTAAGACCTTTGTAACCATTTACTTGTATACTACTCTCAAGGAAATTTATTACTCAGTTAACATTTTGCTTTCAACGCACTTTAAGGGCCTATTCGCTGGTTGGTGTTGGTGCTGGTTTGGGTTGGTTGGTGCTGATTTTTTTGTGAGAGAAAAACACTGTTGGCTGGCTGGTTTGGGCTGGCTGAAACCAACAAGCGAACAGGCTGTAAATCTCCTGTTGGGTGCCTTTTTCACCCAGGGATCCTTGCAACTTAAGTTGATGGATGAAATGATTTACCAATCTGCCCAATGTTCCAAACAGCATGCCATGGTCACAGTGATGCACATGTGAAGTGATTGCGATTTGTGAGATGGTATATTATTTCATTATTGTATTTTCTATATTTCATTCTTAACAAGATGCTAAAATGCCATCCATGTTGCACTTGGGCCTAGCATTGCTGGTAATTAATCTTGAGTTCTTGACTAGCGGCAGTGTATTCTGTAGACCTAATGGCTGGCAGTGTATCATAGCTGGTGGTGACTGTGCCAGCATTGAGTTCAACTTCATGTATTCTGTAGACCTATTGCTGGCGTTGAACCTAGGGAAGGACAAGTCAACTGCAATTAGCCTACTCTTCCCTTAAGATGTCTGTATCCCTCCGTGTAGAATATTTCCACTCGGATCACGCCAAGTTTTATTGAAAGAATGAAATTGGCCAAGTGAGCTAATCACTATTGTAAGCCTTGATCTTGAATCCTCCACGTCAAGCCGGGATGCAATTGGTTATGGCAAGGTTTCATTACTGTAGCATCTCCAATATGCTCTTAGTGCGACTGTTGTTATCTTGTCCATGACCATCCCTTCCAGCAAAGTTAACAAAGTAATAATTGCTAGACCTGTCGCCGCGTATTCATGCCCACTATCCATTGGAGTCGTCAATGGGCTTATCTGCTACCACGCTAGGTTTATCAAGGTTTATCCATGAGAGTTACTCAAGTCAACACAAGAGGTCAGAACTGGAATTGTACCTTGATGATCCTGCTCATCCTGAAATTGATAATGATGTATTTGACATCATTGCATGGTCCAAAATATCCAACCATTTCTCTAATGGCACGAGACATCCTAAGGGCCTGTTTAGTTGGGAAAATTTTTTGGTTTTGGGTACTGTAGCACTTTTGTTTGTATTTGGCAATTAGTGTCTAATTATGGACTAATTAAGTTCGAAAGTTTCGTCTCGCGATTTCTCACCCAACTGTGTAATTAGTTTTTTTTTCGTCTACATTTAGTACTCCATGCATGTGCCGCAAGATTCGATGTGATGGATACTGCGTAAAAAATTTTGGATTTTGGGTAGAACTAAACAGGCCCTAAGTGTTCCAGCATATACTGTTGCATTTGAATCGGCGTTTAGCTTAGCAGGGCTGATCATTGATGACAACCGTTGTAGCTTGCTCCCGGAAACTGTTGAGGCTTTAATGTGTACACAGGATCGGTTGAGAAGTGCCATTCCAGGTATACAATTCCTCTGAAATTGTACTATACTGCTTTGCGTTTCCTAAATAAATAATATTGTAATGATTTGGGAACTTGCTATTTTTTTTTTTTGATTGAAACAGATGAGTCAAGTATGGCAGCAGAGGTCATATTTCCTACTGCAACTTTGTCACCAACTAAAAACCAGTAGCGTGTTCGTTTCGGCTGACGCTTTTCTTGAAAGATTATAAGGTACAGCAACTGAGTTATTCCTATCAGACTGCTGTTTGACTTAGCTCTGGGTTGATCTCTGAAAACAGTATTTTGTGTGGGATTCTGTTGCTTAGCATAGCAAAGTGCCAGAGTTACCTTACCTTTTTTTT